ATTCATGAAAAGAGGATGGCTGCCGGGCCGAGTTCATACAAATTTTTTAGTGTTGCTCGCCATGGAAAACAGCATGAAATTTATGAGTAAGTATTCACACATGGAAAATACATTTTGTCAGTGAGTGTATGAAATTTGATATAACAACCAAATTAATTCACAGACACGAAGAGTCTGAAGAAGAAGTTTACGAATATGAAAGTCATGTTCCAAAACGTGCACCCGCCCAAGCTTATGAATATGTAAAAGGTGAGTAGAAAATAAACGTTTCTATAATTAATTAATTTTTTGTGTTTGCAAATAAGTAAATAATTTGATCTTGAGCATACAAATTAACCTTCGAAAGCTTTTAGAAATAACTTATAATTCAAATAATCAACAACACCTACTGAAATAACAAAGACTGCTATAAAAGTAAAAATTTTAAATACAGTAAGTAAATAAATATTCAAAAAATGGAATCTTATCACAAATTCCACATTAGAAACGGTCTCAAGCTCAATAAAATTGTTGAATGTAAATAAATAAATAAATACAGTAAATTTATTTATAAACGATATAATAAATAAATGTGTAATAAAGTTATCCCATCAACAGCACCTTATAAACGTCCACCCACCGCCATATATGGAACTGAATTAAAGCGCACGCGCGACACCACTATCAAATCTTATAAACCACCATCATTTGGAATTACTAAGAAATATAAATAAAAATAAGTCCTAATAATAAAATTGTTAAAGAAATGCTAATAATCGAATCCCAAAATATAACAGTATATAACGTATACATAACTGGTATATGAAAATGTAAATGGCTATAACAATACCAATAACCACGCAAAGGTGGGCATAAAATGTAAAACAAAAATCGTCTAATCTATTGAGCCAACATAACCGAAATATGAAATATAATTACGTACATATAACACCTAATAAACCTAATAAACGTATTGTTTATCGTTGCATTAAATATATACATACCTACCTACTAAAATCAGAATTTAGTTTCTTTTTACAGCTAATGACGTAAGTATGGGTGCGCTAAGAAATGCATCAAGCCAAAGCATCAGTCTCTTTAACTTCTAAACTACAACTGATGGAAATGCCTTATTTAGGCAATTTCCTTCTAATTATGAATTTAACCGTGGTTACGCACATTGGGCATTCCCATCAATTACAGTTTAGAAATAAAAGCGTCTGATGCTTTGGCTTGATGCATTTCTGAACACACCCATGATAACTTGTTTGTAACGTTTATTCCACACGAAGTCCAAATAAATGTCGCACAAAATAACAAGTGTTTTAATTCATTCGATGGGGTTTTTAAGAAAGTACCTTTATCGCCATATATTAGATAGCACGATTGAGAGAATACAAAGGTTGCGCCGATCTCTGACCGCTATTCCTCTCTTAACGAATTTGACAGAATCGTGGTTTGCATGGCGTCACACTTGTGCAACTTGTTTACGTTTTCCTTCCAACATTTTTTCTTCTTCCATTCTTGCTCACGTTTTGGCATTTCTCTCTCGCAATTGCACCAGTGCGACGTCACACAAAAGTTATTCTCAAAAATCCTCTCTGATCGGCAAAGAGTGTCAAGATTTGGCGATTTCGGGCCAATTAGCTCTGATCGAATACTTTTCCTGAAAAATCCTGTAAAACTGTCAAACAGCAAAATTACTCTCTGAAGTGAGAGTAAAAGGTGAGTAACATCAAAAAGTACGGGAACAAAAAAAAACCATTTTTCATGTAAAAACGTCAACCAGTGATTGCTTGACACTTTTCATGATTTTACCAGAAGAAAAAGTTCGGGTAAAATCTTGCAACTTCATTCTCTACACAACTCTCCAAAAGTTGCTCTCATTTACAGGATTTTGGAGGATTTCGCAGTACGGGAACATTTTTCCTGCAACTTCCTACAAGTTCGTATAAATTCCGTAAGTTCATGGAGTACCGGATCAGAGCTTATGTGAGCGTACAATCGATAGTTTCTTTCGATATGGTCAGCAGCGTTGCCATTTTAGCCGTTTTCCGGCTAGATTTAGCCGGTTTTGATAGCAACTAGCCGGAGAAAATTCGATCTAGCCGCCGCCGCGGCAGCCGATTTGTTAGCCGGTTTGTAAAAAAAAAGTTAGCCGTTTTTAGCCGATTTTACCTAATTTTCAGGTGCAAAAAGTAAACAAGTTGTTCGAAAGCAATAATGCAGACCCAATGAAGATTTTTAATGAACTCAATGTTTTACTTTCGCATCTATGCTCCCTAGTGGTTATTAGCGCGGACACATTTGATCCTATATGCTCCCCGTTGGAACCATACCTTGCTCCATTTCCTCAGTTTTATCACAGTTTTGAAGAGTATTTAAAAACAAAAGTAAGCACAAACGCTTTTGACCACGAAGCCGAGAATATGGTCGCTATTTTATTATCACTTTAATAAAGGAGTTACGCCAACGCCTCCCTACAAATATTGCCACACTAAAAAAAATTGACTTTTTTCGGTTGGAAATGCATTAAGAGTAATTAAACCAAAAGTATTCGTTCAACTACAGCAACAAAAACACAAATATAATGCCGACGAAATAACATCCATAGAGATGCAATAGCAACGGTTAACGTTACATACCTGGAGTAATTTAGACTCAACTGTAAAATTTTGGGCCGAAGTTTATCAATTTCGAAATGCCCTAGTAGAAAACCCTTTTGCTGACCTTTCCAACCTAGTTTTTAGTTTTCTTGTTTTGCCTATAAGTAATGCAGAAGTAGAGCGAATATTTAGTTCAATGAATATAATAAAAACTAAGCAAAGAAATCCAATGTGCGTTAAAACGTTAAACGCTATTTTATATATAAGATACGGTTTAAAACGTGAAGAAAAATGCTGCCATAATTTTACTGTAGATGACGATCTCTTAAAATTAATGGTCCGTAGTCATAGTCAAAATAAAGTCGACTTTAAAGTTAGTTGCAGCTTTTTGACATAATTTTCAATGGGATATCTGTCAAAAAAGCTGCAACTAACTTTAAAGTCGACTTTATTTTGACTATGACTACGGGCCAATGAATTCAGGTGATATATACAATAGTGATTCATTTGATGATGAGGAATATACACTCGATATAAATTAATGGTGTTAACTAGTCTTTCGTTTCTTGCGATTTATTTAAATAAAGCATGTGAATTTTCACTAAAACATTTTAGCCGTTTTTTGCCAGAGTCTATGTGAAATTTCACTAAAACATTTTAGCCGTTGTTAGCCGCTTTTTTTTGCCAATCTAGCCGGTCGGCCCAAAAAGTCCTGGCAACACTGATGGTCAGCCATTTTTAGCAGGGGTGGTTCAATGTACTAGGGAAGCATCGATACATCAACGATTTATACATCGTGTGGCAAAATATTTGAATCGAAGCAAAACATCGAAGTTATCGACGCATCGATGTTTTTCCGACATTCCTATTTGGTGCAGCAAAGGATTTCTACTATTCCAAATCAAAACTTGCTTCAATATTATTTGGTTGATTAGCTAATATGCTTTCTATTGATGACGAAGATCATTCCTCCGGAGATAGTGCTTCGGAAGGTTGTATTAACTGTATATTTTAAAAATTTATTCCAATTTTAACCTAATTTTCAATTGCCTATAGAATTTTCTGATTCTGAGTTCGAAGATGAGTCCAGTATCGACTACGCAGCGTTCAGCGCAAGATACATGGGAGAGATTACTGATTTGTTGGGCACACATAGTCATGTAAATTGCGAGAACGCTTTGTTGCTTAACCAGGAGATGCAACAACGTTTGGTAGAGGTGCGAAAACGTTTACAAACTTTGTTACAATCCGTACAGCTGCGATACCTTGCCAACGAGCAACGATTAAAGATGAATCTGGGGAAGAAGCAACGAGGTGTTGGTATACGTGGCGCATACCTGAAGGGCGGAACTTTTTTTTTCAAAGGGAATATGTTTTTCAAAGATCTTAACTGTCGGAATTGTCCAAACAATGAGGACTACGAATATCGGAGAAATGTAGAAGGCGAAATGTTCCCTATGGACTTTGAATTGTGCAGTAGACATGTTTGGTCACTATTAGATAAAAGGGCTGTGGTGCAAGCTGTAAAAGAGCAGGTGAGGCTTGCTATTCTTTCTTAAACTTATAATATGTTTGTGGGAAGGGCAAAAAGAAAACCGATTTAGTATAATATGAATAAAGTTGGGCTTTCAACACCAGCTGTTACTGCTTATTAAGAGCAACATACATTAACGCGCCGTGCGGTTAGAAACACGAACCAAGGTTCGTGCATTCCCACAACTGTCGGATCTACATATTTTGGCCAAGGACTGATTTCCCGAGCATTTTTTTTTTTGCGAAATTTTTGTATGCTGTTACAACAACTAAAGTTTGATTCCTGCCCGACCAAGATATAAAAATAGAAAAGTTTTTCTAACAGCGGTCGCCCCTTATTAGGCAGTTTCAAACCCCTGCCAAAACCATATGCCGTCCGGAGGTATCCTTAAATTTGTATTATAACATCAAGTCGCCACCACAAAAATTGGATAAGATCGGCCAAACAAACCCTTGGTAAAAATGTGAGCTCCAAATATTTTTATTTTTAATACTTTAAAATAGGAGTATTTTGGAACTATTATTACTCAATTACCGCTAATGCGTCCGCATTTAGTAATTTTACATGGTTTGGACTGTTGCTCTAGGACACCCTATATATATTTTAGAAAATAAGTAGTTTCACCGCATGGTAAAAAAATTACAAATATTTGTATCATGTTCCCTCGTATCTAATAGAAATATTTTGTACATTTTTTTACATGATTCAATTATCGTGCATTTTTTTATACTGTTGGGAAATTTATTGAATACTCTGCTTCGTGGTTTCCAAGCAACACTTAACAGTTTTCAAAGATAACCGGAGTGACCCAGATTTATATATGGTCAACGACTGCCACTACGACATCACTCTTTCAAGTACCAAAACTGGATTGACTCATCTGAAAGTCTGTTACGTGATATCCTATATCATATGTTGTCGTGAAGACATCCATAGGCTAAAGTAGTGGTGCAATACTATAGACATAACCATAACCGAGGCAAATAAATGTTCCGATAAAACGTACGGACCGCCCTGTAAACGATTATTGTTGCCATATTATAACGCCACAGCCATAACCATAACCGCATATTTTAGGTTTTCGCCATAACCATAAGCAGTTCTGAAGTATTTTGCTACGTTATGACACCTCTAATTTGGCCTTAAGTCAACAGTTGTTTTTTATATAAACCTTGCAGTGAAAGTAGAGACTCAGCATATTCTTTTTTATAATCCAATAGAAATATACCTCTGTAAGGTTTTTAATTCCTGGAATTTTTTATGAGCATACACTGTAGGTAGATAAGATTCTATCTATATATACATATTGTATTTTACCAAACTAAGTAATATATAAATATACATATATATGTATCCTTTAATTTTCTAATGGAACTCTCTTCGTACAGATTATTGATTATTTAGCTGACCGCAAATTTCGGGATAAAAATAATAAATCGAAAAAGCTTGAACTTGAAATAAAAGTACATACAGAGAAGGTGGCAAGCCTATTGGCACAAGTGGATGATAAATTCCAGATTGATTGGGCGCAGGTGTCTGCGCATAACTTAAACTATCGGCATTCACCCAGCAGTTGTAAAGCAATGTGGCAAGTATACTTACATCCCATACTGAAACGTAGCTCATGGACTGAGGTAGAGAAGAGACGTCTCCTTCAAGCAGCACGGAAGCATAATTATCAAAATTGGGAGATCATTGCAACGGCAGTTCCGAAACGTTCAGATTATCAATGTTTTATACAGTATCACACTTCTGTATGTTATACGGATACTCAACGCTATGGGCGTTGGGATAAACGTGACGACAAAAAACTTCTCGAAGTGATCGAGAAAAAAACAACGAACGGTATCGTAGAATGGAATGCCGTCGCTCCGTATTTCCCGCACAAATCGAAGAAAGCGTTACACCAGCGGTACCTATATTATTTGCATCCAAAGATTAGCCATGGTAAGAAAGAAAGACATTTACTAAAATTACCCTTTACTCAGCTTTTATTTATCACTTTTAGAACCATTTACAGCAGAAGAGGATCTCATACTACTAGCAGCAGTAGAAGAATATGGTGAAAAATTCGCTTTATTTCCGCGAACACTTTTTCCAAATCGCTCAATAACGCAACTGCGCATGCGCTATAGGAACACGCTGCAAACGCGACATAAACTAGCTCCCTGGACCGTGGAAGATGATAAGAAGCTTATGGAATGTATATCCGAGCACGGCACATCAGCTTGGTTACGGTGCGCTGAAGTGCTAGGAAATCATAATCGCATCAGCTGTCGTACACGTTTCGTAACCATACAGAAATTTTTTGTTAAAAATCCAGAAGCAACAATCGAAGATATACCACGAAAGAAGACATGCATAATGAAGAATAGTGTCATAACAACGCAGAATTGGGTGGAAAAAGTTGCTGAGCTACGTGATAATCCTGACGCCGTGCTTATACCCGAACGTAAAATATATGCAAAACAGAAGGGAAAATCAAAAGCCAAACGAAATAAATGCCTTAAAGGTGAAGAAGAACTGAAATGTGAAATACAAAAAGAGAAGGAGGAATTAGTAGAAGACAGTAAGGCACAAATAATAGCGCCAAAAGAAGAAAGTGGTACAGAAACGCCTGCGCCAGAAGTGGAAGAAACAATTCCGAACACCTCATTTCCAGAGTGTGACACGCAAACGCCATTAGGCATAAAAAAGAAAAAAGTTCGATATGTAGAACGCTTGCGGGCGGTTGAACTGCAACTCTATAATTTTTTCAAGTACGCCTACAATTTTCGATTAGGCACAGATGTATGCACCAAGCCGCCAAATGTGTTTTTGCGTACGGTGGCATCTTCTCTCGAATTCCGGCCAGATCCTACGCGGCCATATGTTACGGATACTTTGCTGTCGAAGTATATTGGACGGCGATGTAAGTTTTACCTTAGTACTGCACGTGAAGGCGAAGTACTTAGCCATGCGTTCGGCGCCACACTGCCTCCCAGCTGGCCGACAGCAATGGCATTCCGAGCACTTTGTGTGCAATCGTCGCAGGTACAATTAGAAGATGCGAAAAATGATGAGCATAATGAAGAAAGCAAACATTGTGAAATTGATATGAATGCCGCGGTGCAAAGTTTTCGCAAACGTATGCGTACATTGCTATACCAAACAGCGCTTTTGAGTCGTCTACAGCCAACCCGTTTCCCAGAATTAATGCAAAGCATCCCTTCTGAGCATACAACGGCAGATTTGGCAATAATGGATGATATCAGAGAAGAAACAACTTCATCTGTTTATGAGATATCAACAGAAAATTCATTATTCGATTTAACGCGCGTAAAAACCGAATATTCCGAAACACCAGAATTTCTGCCAAACCATGAATCATTTCCAGTGATAGAAGGTAACCTAATGGAAACAAGTGATAAAACACCGAAAGCTGAAGTTTTTGATAAACAAAAGAGAATTGAAAGACCAGAAGAATTGCAATTTTTAGGAGAAGAGGAATTACGAACAACTCCGGAAACATTAGTACTGTCCGAAAATATAACCAGTAAGTTGAATTTCATTACTAAATTACGAAATATATTGTTAACAACTATCTGCTCTTAGGAGTGTGCAAAGCGAGCCCTTCACATTCAAGCGCTGAGCAAATGGTGTTATTCGAAGTTACTTATATTGATGACGACCCTACAACGACTACCTTTCAACCAGTAAGCGATTCACATTGCATTGAAGATGGGCAACAATATCACAGCGGCGAACATTCCACGGCCATTGAAAACGTGCCAAAGAATTGTGGAACTCAATTACCTAACGTGGCAGAAAAACGAAAATTGGGACTTACACTGTCAACTGAAGAAGAACCCGCACAAAAACGCATTTACATTGAGTCCCGCTGTAACAGTGACGATGATTATAAGTCTGAAGATATAAAGACTGAGTTTTGAGATATCTATACATAGTTTAAACGGCAGCCTACATACATAACGTCGTCATAAAAGCAAAACCACTACATGAAGATTGTAAAATTTAGAGCGGACTCAACAAATTTTTATTCGTACTAAAATTTTATGTTTTTAAAGTTTGCACATAAATTTTTGCATTATGCACGACGAAATGTTTATAGAATGTGGAAGACTTGTAGACAGCAAAACGGCATTTTTAGCTGGTTTCCTGTACAATGGGCTAGAATAGGCTAGAAAGGACAGGAATTTAAATTTCAGCAAGCTAAGTTGGCCTCGCTTATTGAATTTAGGCGAGTTCATGCCTTTTTTCATATAAAAATACACAAAATAACGCCAGCGTCCGGCCTAACTCAGCTTTTCAATTCATTCCAGACTTTTAATTTGTGGTAATAATTAAAATGGTTCCAGTTCGTAGGCACGTTTGGATTCGAAAGAGGCCATGAAGTCATAATTTAAACCACGTTCAAGGTACCTTTTTTTTTAGCGTATACAAACCAGCGACGACGAATTGTAAATTTTAGCAAGAAAATTCGCTTTTAATGAATGTACCGCAATAGGTAGCATGTAATTACATATCTGCCAAAACAGTGGTGGTATTCAGGTTCTAGAACACCTTTTTGGGTGCTTGCGCAACTCAAACGGAAGGCATAGTAGATAGATATGCACTATGTATGTAGATATGCACGAATAAGTAAACACATTGATATATATGTATACATATGTATGTGTATTTTATTTCTTCTTTGTTAATAATGGTTAAATACTCGCGTACATACATACATTTTGAATTTATAACTCTAAATGCTTTATTTCCTTCAACTTTCCATAACACTGCTTCATTTCCAATCTCCATGTTTCTTTATATAATACGTTTCTCCATTACACTTTCATTAAATAGTAATTAGATATAATTGCATTTTAAACAAATAATTAAAATACATTACGTAATTACTTAGTTGGTATTGTATACTGCTGGACAAATCTGCAACTGCTCGGTTACATAGATAGTTACATACATACATATGTATGTATGTGATTAGTACATATTGCGTGCATATTTTGTTAATGCAAGTACATACATACATATGTAGGTATGCATGTATAAGTTAAGCTTTGTGAAAGTTTTAAATATGTATATAAAATTGTGTATGCATACATACATAATTATGTGTGTAAAATAAACACCATTTCATACGACGCTTTTGGCATATCGTCAAATTGATGTTGAATTAAATTAAACGAATAAACGAATTTTGCATAAAAATCAGCATGATGCTAAAATTTGTATTTACTTTATATCTTTAAGTGCTAATATAATCTATAAATAATTATGTATCGCAATATTGTTAAGCAATTGAATTTCGCCGGAAGATGACGTGTGAAATTTAAATACTTTTTTTTTTTTTTAACAATTTTATGTATTTAAGTTTGACAATTGCTTGCATACCAATCCACCAATCAAGAAAATTTCGCCTTCGATTTTATTACGTTACATAAATAGGTATCATTTTCTTTACTGAAAATTGCTAAAATCTGTCTTCAATTTTATGGTTGGTTTCTGCGGCTTGGCCATACCTCCGCGTGCCTGCAATTCACTTGCCTTGTTGGCGATGTTAATTGACTGCTGTTGGTTTCGTATTGCCGCCTCAAGTTTCTGGCGCAGTTCCAGCGTTTGTCCCATTAAAGCCTTGAACTCTTGCGGGTATTTGGGACCGATTTTCATGAGCCACTGCAGGGATTGCTCGTGCAACTGACGTTGATATTTGGGTAGTGTACGCAATTTTGTTGGCTCGGCCAAATAGTTTATGAGTACAGGAACAAGTAATGTTAACATTTGTATGCCTGCAAATCGGTTTAATAAAAGCTTGTAAAAAATGTGAAATAATAATACAAATAATTATA